GGGGGGGGGGGGGGGGGGCGGCGGTTATCCAGACCCTTTGATAAGGCGGGGGCCTTGGGTCTCCCAAAAACGTTTTTTTGGCCCTTTGGGCCTCAGTTTAGTCTAAAAATAAGGCTGGCGTTTTCTTAGAGTGGGGCGTCTTATTAATACAAACTTAATAATTAACATCTTAAGGTAGGCAAATATTAAGAGAGGGCGTCAATTAGATCATTTACGGTAACCCTCATGCAGACTATCCAGCTCTTTATATAGTTAGAGCCGTCACTTTGCAAACTGCAAGCTCTTTGGCTTCGTATCCACACACCTTGCCGTTGTTAATACTCTTTCCTTTGGCCAACACATCTCCCAAACATTTTATCCAGGTCTTATGATTTTTTTTATTACAATTTAAAGATGCTATTGTTTGTTGTCATCCGTTTTTGCTGTTATACTAATATTACGCTGAAAAACTACTAATAATTTTTGGGCACTACTATTAACCAATCAAGTCTCCTGGCAGACAACACTAAATCTCAACGATTGGCGTCACTGATTCAGTATAATTCTTCATATCAAACGAAAGCCAAATTCGGTAATTGTTTTATTATTCATTCAAAATAATTATTTCCAACTTCAAAACACGCTTTCCTCGATCGAAGTAAAGTCCGCATCTCCGTAACTCAGCAAATTTAACATATAAATGGCTTTTTAATTTTGACAAGCAGATTTTCTTCAAATAGAGGTTGTCATCCGTCCAGTGCATGTATTAATTGCTGTTCTTGCTACATTTCTAGGCAATAGCCAGTTAGGCTATTTCTTCTTTGCAAAACGTATGAAATTTTACTCTACCAAGACAGCTGACCTGACTTTCTACCTTGTCCTCCGCTGTCCCTTTTTCTGCTGATACTACACCGTTGACGTCAAATTGTATTGCACTGAATATCGGCAAACTTCTTCCAAATTTGCGGGTCAACGGTAGCTAATTATGAAGAATCAACCTGCGGATTTAAGCCAATCAGAAACAGGGGAAATATTTTGAGTGGATAATAAAGATCACTTTCAGTTCCCACTCGCTTAAAATAAGACGGTTCCAATTACAATGTCCTCAGTATTCCGCCTTACGATTGCATCTGATTTTTTTCTATTTTTATGGTGTCGTGTTTAGATGTTAAACACTAAAAGCTCTACAAGATATCTGACAAATATATCTACACTGACTACGCCTCCCGCTTCAGCTGTAGCTTATTCCTACCTGCTGCCAGTAGCGTTTGGTTTTATTGCTGCCCTGGCTTTTATTGGCAACGGTCTTTTTTGCATTCTTATGCTGAAGAATTATCGGATGCTCAGATCTGCATATAACTTGCTGATATTCAGCCTGGCTGTGACAGACATGATAACAGGTAAACGTTTTTAGAAATCAAATCAGTCTTTTCCTAGTGTGAGTGAGAAACTATTGTACACTAAGATCTCCATACATGAACTGCCAATAAGGTTACACCTGCAGGTGACGAGTGTGAAAGTTTAAAGCGTCTTTGAAGAGGTTTCCTACTTTGAAGAGACGTACTGTACATAATACCGTAGTTGTAGCATACGAAATAATTCCTTTGCAAATACAAATTCGGATTATATGAACGACACACTATTTTATTGCTATTAAATAAAGTTTCTTAACGAAGTCACTAGTTTTTAAACAGTCATGCAGTAGACCTTATTTAGGATGCCCACAGTCTTTGCAAGTAGTAGGGATTGACGGATTTTGATACCATCTTCGCATTTAATTTTTCTACAAAATCGCTCACCAACCACTCTTTTTATCAATATCTGGTTAGCCTCGCTGTTTTTCTCAATTTAAAATAATGATTTCTTAAGACTGTAAGCTCTCCGGAATTTTCCAACGTTAAACATTTTCCTTTATTCTGACAACTCAGCCATAGTTTTCTCATGTTTGTTTGTCCTCTTAGTGAGAAGTTCCCCGCATTAGCCTCGCATTCATGTTCAAGACCTACTCGTCCCAGACAGACTATCCAGCTCATTATATAGTTAGAGCCGTCACTTTGCAAATTGCAAGCTCTTTGGCTTCTTATCCACACACCCTGTCGTTGTTAATACTCTTTCTTTTGGCCAACGCTTCTCCCAAACATTCATCCAAGTCTTAGGATTTTTTTACCATAAATTGCTATTGTTTGTTGTCATCTGTTTTTGCTGTTATACTAATATTACTCTGAAATACTACTACTACCTTTTGGGCACTACTATTAACCAATCAAGTCTCCTCGGCAGATAACTCTAAATCTCAACGATTGGCATAATTCTTCATATCATACGAAAGCCAAATTCGGTAATTGTTTCATTATTCATTCAAAATAGTTATTTCCAACTTCAAAACACGCTTTCCTCGGTCGAAGTAAAGTCTGCATCTTCATAACTCAGCAAATTTAGGATAAAAATGGTTTTTAATTTTGACAAGCAGATCTTCTTCAAATAGAAGTTGTCATCCGTCCAGTGCTAAATGTATTAATTGCTGTTCTTGCTACATTTCTAGGCAATAGTTAGGCTATTGCTTGTTTGCAAAACGTGTGAAATTTTTCTAACTTTTTGTGAAGCTCTACCGAGACAGCTGACCTAACTTTCCACCTTGCCCTCTGCTGTCCCTTTTTCTGTTGATACTACACAATTGATGTTAAATTGTATTGCCCTGAATATCGGCAAACTTCTTCCAAATTTGCGTGTCAACGGTAGCTAACTGAATTATGAAGAATCAACCTGGGGATTTAAGCCAATCAGAAACAGGGATATATTTTGAGTGGATAATAAACATCATTTTCAGTTCCCACTCGCTTAAAATAAGGCGGTTCCAATTACAATGTCCTCAGTATTCTGCCTTGCGATTGCTACTGATTTTTTTCTATTTTACGGTGTCGTTTTTAGATGTTAAACAATAAAAGCTCCCCAAGATATCTGACAAATATATCGATACTGACTACGGCTCCCACCTCAGCTGTAGCTTATTCCTACCTGCTGCCAGTAGCGTTTGGATTTATTGCTGCGCTGGCTTTTATTGGCAACGGTCTTTTTTGCATTCTAATGCTGAAGTATTATCGGATGCTCAGTTCTGCATATAACTTGCTGATATTCAGCCTGGCTGAGACAGACATGATAACAGGTAAACGTTTTTAGAAATCAAATCAGTCTTTTCCTAGTGTGAGTGAGAAACTATTGTACACTAAGATCTCCATACATAAATTGCCAATCAGGTTACACTTGGTGACGAGTGTGAAAGTTTAAAGCGTCTTTGAAGAGGTTTTCTACTTTGAAGAGAGGCACTGTACATAATACCGTAGTTGTAGCATACGAAATAATTCCTATGCAAACACAAATTAGGATTATATGAACGACACACTATTTTATTGCTATTAAATAAAGTTTCTTAAGGAAGTCACTAGTTTTTAAACAGTCATGCAGTAGACCTTATTTAGGATACCCACAGTCTTTGCAAGTAGTAGGGATTGACGGATTTTGAGACCATCTTCGCATTTAATTTTTATTTACAAAACCGCTCACCAACCACTCTTTTCATCAATATCTGGTTAGGCTCGCTGTTTTTCTCAGCAATGAAGAGCAGCTCTTTCTTTTGCTATTTAAAATAATGATTCCTTTAAGACTGTAAGCTTTCCGGAATTTTCCAACGTTAAACATTTTCCTTTATTCTGACAACTCAGCCATAGTTTTCTCATGTTTGTTTGTCCTCTTAGTGAGAAGTTCCCGGCCTTAGCCTCGCATTCATGTTCAAGACCTACTCGTCCCAGGACCGTCGGGAATACGAATATTGTCTATTTTATTTCTTTTTTGTTTTCAAGGGGTGATTATTGGTGTGACGCCAAACTACGTTGTCGCCCTAGGATCCTACCAAGTTCCGGCGGATTACCTGGGGTAATTTTTTGCAAAGTCATTTGTTCCAATTACTTCGTGTTTGTACTTGGTAAAGTTTCCTGTCTTACGGTCACGTGTCTTGCTCTGGAAAGATGGTATTCTGTGGTTAAGCCTGTAAAATATCGACTCAAGTTTAAAAGAGGAAGAGTTTATGTGTATCTTGTAATTATATGGATAACCTGTCTCTTATTGCATTCATTAATACTGTTTGAAATGACGCTTGATGAAAATAACCTGCGATGTGTGTGGATAACGTCCGATTTTCCCAAACAACTAACACCAATGACCATCACAATCGTGACGTTCTTTTTTCCAAATGTAGTTACCTGGGTTACGTATCTGCACATTTCCCTTGCGCTTAAGACATCCCCAGCAATTAAAAATAATGGACGTTTAGCTCGAGCACGGCTTAAGCTTCTTCGTATGTGCGTTATAGTTGCACTGTTATTCACAATATGCTGGTTTCCAAATCAGCTTTACTATGTCCTATCTTCTTATGGCCTTGTTAGATTAGACACCACTTCTCATTGGTTTACCGTCGTCCTTGTTATGTTTAACTCGTGCATCAATCCCGTCATTTATTGTTCCACACACCAGGAATATAGAAAAAGGTTTCTTTCTTTATTCCGTTGTGTCTTTAATTCTTGGCTCTGTAAGAAACGAAGGGAGATAAGTCTACCCAAAGAACACAGACTGCGATCAATTAGTGGAGAATCTGAAGCGGAGAAAACTGGCGGTGGTGTGGTGTTCACCAGTTTTCGCAATTTGATTAACCAAGGGTACGAGGGCGACAACTGTTCACAACAGGAACGCAGTGGTGTTTGAATTTATCGCAAAAATCTGGCAATTTGCGTTCCGCTTAAGAACGAGGCACCAGGAAAACTTGTCAGTCATCCCTTTTTACCCTGGATCTTAACTAGGATGGCACAAGCTACCCTATTTTATGCTCGCTGGTCAGCGGTCAGCGAGCATGATGGCCGCGTTTTTTGTTGGCTCTGCCAACTTGACATAATTTCTCACGTAAATCTTACTTTTACTTTTACAAACTAATCAAACAAGTAACAAACAATGTCTTCAAAAAGAGGAAAGCAAAAAGAAGTTGTGGTAGAGGATTTTGAGGCGTTTGTCCGCCACCGGTTGAGTTCAATAAGTGACGACCTAAAAGAAATGAAAGAAACTCAAGTCAAGATTCAAAGAGACATTGAATCTCTTCAGGGTCAAATCAAGAAAATGAAAGCTCGATTTCAAAACTGAAGGAATCTTTGGATACAAAGCTGGAGGTATTAACAGGACAACTGCATGAAGCTAACACAAGAATCGACCAAATCGAGAACGATATCACCAAGTATGCAAAAGAGATCGATTACACCTACGAGAGATTGTTGTCCCTGGAGAGATATTCTAGGGACTACAATCTGAGATTTTACAACATCCCAGAATCAACAGGCGAAGATTGTATTGCAAAGCTCCGTGATATCATAGAAAATGATCTCCAATTGCAATCAAACATCAAGAACGCCCACAGGATCGGGCCCTTCAAGGATGATGGCACTCCCAGACCAATTTTGGCTAAGTTTTTGTATCGTCCGGAACGGNAATACAAGAAGTTTAAAACAACATTTCGAACAAATGTGCAATCTTCTGGATTCGATTTCATGTAAGTTTGATTTTATCGGTTGCTCCGAGACATGGTTCACCTCTGAAACTGATTATACACGTTTTCAAATCCCAGGTTACACTTTACTCAATGAAAATCGCACCTTTTCGACAGGTGGCGGTGTTGCTTTGTATGTCAGATCAGGCTATTCTTTCTCAATTAGAAATGACCTCAAAATAGACTCAATCGAAAACCTATGGATAGAAACTAATGATATGATTGTGTACACTTTGGGGAAATAATTATAACGCTCCATTGTCTCAAATCGTAAAGTTACAAAACAAAGCGGTTCGTGTTATAAATGATGTTCCTTTAATGGAATCAATAACTCCACACTACACATCCTTAGGCCTTCTGAAATTTCCTGATATTGTTAAACTGAACACATGTACGCTTTTTTATGATTATTTCCACCATGAAAAGTTTCCTAATATACCGGTTTCATTAGTATCTGAACTACATAATTACAGTACCCGCAGTGCATCATCCAATCAAGTTGCAATACCTTTATTTCGAACTAATCTTAGGAGATTTTGCCCCAGCATTATTGGAAGCTTCTTTTGGAACAATATTCCGCAATCCATTAGAGACAAACCATCTAAAAAAATGTTTAAAGAAGCACTTCTAAGCTGCAGCTGGTACCTGGCTCAATACTAATGAATCAATATCCCTTTTATAACTTTCTGAGCTATTTTGTCATTTTTCCTTTACCTTTTTATTAATAATCTTAAATCCTTTGTTATACATAACTTTAAGGGGCACAATATTAGTTTATCTAGATGTGCCCTCTCCTTCCAATATACAATGTAATTCAATTTAAGTGTTGTAATTTCTATTTTACGCGTTTATTTCCTTTGTAAATCTTTATCTGTTACTATATTATTTTTTCTCAGTTATATTTACATAACTATGTATCAGCTAGGAATTGGAGGAATAAATAAAATAATAAAAAAAAAAATTGTTATACTGATTAACCTTGCCTTACGTTAGCGTGTATGTGGAAAGAAATAGATAGAGGTGTACAAGTGACAGGAAGCACAATAGGAATAGCCCTAATTACATCAGCTGAGTCCCTGCAAGCTAATACATACTTACTAAGCAGCCGTCAAAACACCTTGCGAAAAAATATGCAACTAAAACATGTGAAAGTAACGTATGGCAAAAAGATAACGTAATGCTCAGTGTCTTATATCATTTTAAAAGAAACTATGAAAGATATCATGGAACTCTGCATCAAAAACACGATAGTGTTATGTTGCTTTGTACCGTCACACAAAAATTTAACCATTAGTAAGTAGAGCTCTTTAGCTTGTTTGTTTTAATTTCCCAAAGAAAGTCTCAGGCCTATTGGCCCTTTGTCTCTTCATAAACTGTGCGTACATATGTTGTTGTTCCACCAGTTTCCCTGTTCCTCTTTTCCCCTTGTTCCCCTGTGTCCTCTGTTCCCTTTTTTTCGCTGTTCTCCTTGTTCCCCTTGTTCTCTTGTTCTCAACGGGTCCGAGAAGGTCAACATGTTTGCCCCTTAGTTGTACAAAAGGTAACCATGATTTCTCAGAAAAGATAATGGCATTAACCTTTTACCTTGTAGCCTACCCGTTTCTCCGGGGAAAGAGGCAATTTACCCGTATTTACGGCAGCGCGCACGGGTAATTTACCCGTACATCGAAACAATGTATGTTAAGTGTGTCACCACCTTCTAATTTTTCTAAATAAATATGCCAAACAATGAAAGTCTGCTAAGTCAACGTAGTCTGTACAAACATTCCGTCACGTTTTGCAGTTCTGTTTAGATAAGTGCTATGCTGACATGATTTTCCTTAGCACGGTTTGCCAAGTTTAACAAAATATAAACAGACGTTATTTTCTACTTTCCGAATGAATGCACTAGAAGTTTTAAATTAAAGTTTTAAACAGTTGTGAAAAATTCAAGATTACATTTGGGCATTTAAAATGATGTTTGCCCTCATTATTTTCTATTGAAATGCAATGAACAATCTATTAATAAGACGACAGCAAAGAGAAAAGGGACTTGAGGTTTCCCGATACATATCAAGAGTATCCTTCTTATCATACAATATTACTTATCTTTTTTTCTCAGGTATTCTTATAGCAGCCACACCCAACTACGCTTTTGATAGAACATATTTCTTTGATATGCTCGCCATTTCCAATTCCTGTTTTAATTCCTGGGTTTACTCAGTTTTATATCACAAACTCAGGATCAGTGATTCTCTCAAGGCCTGCAAGTTAATCCCAGTTGTTTGTAGCGCAGAATAGTTAACAGTTAATAAATGAGGCTGAGTATCTTATGAAGAATTATGGAGATCGAGGAGGGTGTTATCCGTCGAGGCTGTAGGCCGAGGCGGATAACACCCTCCGCGATCTCCATAATTCTTCATATGATTCGACAGCCGAATTCATTAATTGTTTTATTATTCATTAAAAATAATTGTTTAAAAACATAGCTAAAACATGCTTGCTTCCATCGATGTTAAGTTCATCTTCGATGGTGTACGTTTAGGTTTGTCCAGCTCCGCAAATATTCTCCAAATAGTAGATGTCGCCCTCCGAGTTGTCCTCTTGCTGTTTTTGCTATGTTTTTAGCTATTACTTCGTCTAGTTCCAGCTGTAGTTCTTACTCTTGAAACGAGTGAAGTGTAGGTCATTTTTGTTTTCACAACCAAAACAACTCAAAAGGCCTCGTCCCTAGGTCTTCTCGGTTAACGGTTCATTAACCTGTAGCGGGCTGCATTTTTGACGTCATTTCCTCGGTAAACACAAAATTCTTTCAAATTTGGTCATCAGTTACTGGTTATGGTGAATTATGCGTGTGCTTTTAGCCAATCAGAATTGGGGAAATATTTTTAATGAATAATAATATTTTCTTTATGGGGTGGTCCCTTAACGGTTGATGGTGGTCCCGTAACTGGTGTCAAACTCAATTCGGCATTCTGCATGCGTAATGAGCAGTGAATCTGTTACGAGAAATTCTCTGTATTTGGACAGATTGAAAATCTTTGAATGGATGAAATTTCTCAGAGGACATTTACATCAAATTCAGGGAAACTATCACAGTGGTATTTAGCGATGGTAAGGCACGAGCGATATTTCAAAAGTGTCCAAAATACACTTTAGATAACTTTGAAATATCTAAAGCTGGTGTTATTATCAATCTTAACATAGCGCGGGTGATTGCCCTTTCTGAATCCTGCTTAATCGCTGTGATAAAATTCTTTATATACGCCCAGCCGTGCCTATACAAGATGACGTCAGTTGTGTTTATTAGACTGGGATTCTAGCCTCTTACTTTTTAAAAACAAAATCTTCAATAATCGAGGGCAATAATAAAGAACATTCTAGGATTTATGGAATTGAGCCTCTAGCCACTCAAACCAACAGATAAAGCAATGAACGTTTTTGTTAAGCAATGTTATACAAGAACTGGCTCATGTTTAAGTTCAGCGTATATCAAAACGAGAGGAAAAAACTGAATTTGCACAAATTTGCTCCTTCCAAATATGTCGCAAATATACAAATAATAGGGAGTAAATATGATCATATATGACAAACACATTTGCCAAGTTATTTACACCCCCTGTTTTTTGGTATACAGATGTGGCATTTACCATTTTTACCATGTACTCCACAGTATTACATATTTGCGACATTTTTGCAAGGAGCAAATTTGTGCAAATCCATTTTTTCGTCCAGTGCAAGTTATTGGTGCACTCAGAAAGTTTGGGTAGCTCTCAAGAACATGGCGAGAGTTGCTGTCGCATACACCTCGAGTAACTCACATGCTACTCTCCAAACTTCACGGGTGCATCCTAACTCGATATGCGCGCGCCAACGCCAGCATCGGTCAATTCTTAAATACCACGTACAGTTCATAGCTAGTTCATGCTATTATTCGTTCATCAAAGAAGCCGATAATTATTTATTTAGCAACGCACTAGATACCTTTATTACGTCAAGAAGCAAATGATTGACAGCTTCTTGTATTAAGCGTCGAAAATATAGTAAATATAGAAAATGTTAAATGTTTTTGTAGTCACTTAGGTGGTAAGAGACCACAAATTGACTTCACGTACAAAAATTAGTCACGGTTATGACTTTCATTGTCCATGAAACTGGTGGACTGTCAATGTTTGGGAGTGTAAAGAAGTGATTTTGAATTGTCTCAGCCCAAAACTACTCCTTCCTCAGTCAGTCATTTCTTCATCGCGAAAGTAAGTGCTTTTGTTTAATTTGGTCGTTATCTCGGGGGCACCCAACGACAATTTTCGGAAAAATATCTGTTCGGAAGACGATTTGAGATCTAGAATTTTCGGAACATTTGTTGTAAAATTACTTGCTAGCCTGCCTCTCCTAGGATTTTTGAACACCTAAAAAATGGTAAAATTACCCATTTTCAACGGATTTTTACCCTAAAAAGGTCACCTAGAATTTTCGGGAGCCTTTTTTCTGGCTGAAATTTTCGAACAGGTAAGTTTTGATCCCTAAAATTTTCGGATCACTAGACTTTCAGCTAGGAAATCCGAATAGATGAAAAATTTAAAGGGGATAAAAATATGCCCATATTCACCGTTTAAATACTAAAACACGTTTAACAATGCTATGTTGAAGTGCTTTTGAACTATATTCTCGTTGGGTGCCCCTGTTATCTGTAGCCTTTCTCATGACAATTCAAGTTCTTGCCTACAAGTCCGCCATTAGCTGTCTGCACTTGACAAATTCTTGGTACTTCGCTGTGAAATTTTGCTGTCAAGGCGAACATAACGTACATGATCTAATAGACGCTAATTGATTAGACTGCGAGCAGTCCCTCAGGATGGCCACGCGGGCGAGGAAATTAGCGGAGCGAGCGAAAGTAAAAAACAAGAAGCCGAGGGAAAGCTGGGGAGGAGGCACCTCTCTCCAGTTTCCCTCTCGGCCATTTCGCTCTCTCCAGTCCTGCCGAGCTTAAGCCGAGCTTAGGCTCGACTGACTGAAGAGGGACTGCTCGCAGTCTATCCTTATTATAACAAAATTCTCTAATGTTGTGATTTCCTATCATAACCCTGATTTCAACATTAATGATAAAGTGTTATGCCTAAGTACACTCTTTTTATTTTATAAGAGTATATTTTATAAGAATATCGAGGCTGAAATTTGCGAAAATTTAAGAATATTTCAAGAATAAACTCCAGGCTGAGATTTCGAAAAGTAGATTGTTTTCGCGTGTTTTGTTTGTTGAAAATCTGTAAATATAGTACAAATATACCTTTTTAACTGATCCCTTTCTCTAAACGGCAAAAGTACGCCAAAACAATACGAAAAAACCTGCATTAACGTTAATTGATACCTTAATGCATGTATGCTGGAACGAAAATGTCATAAGCTATAATTTAACAAAAATTACAAGAATAGTTTCAGCCTTTAAGATCGACAGAAAAATAAGAATATCCAGCCTGGGCCTGACAAACAACATTCTTATATAAAAAAAGAGAGTATTTGGTCATCATGTGTGCTCTAACAGGACATTTGTACCTAAACGGGTTCATTTTTTCTTCACGTCTTGCAAAAAACTGCAGGAAAGTCTCTCGGCCTCCTGATAGAACCAGTGGCGGATCAAGGGGAGGGGCCCGCCCCCCCCTCATTTTTAAACCGTAATGTCCCATTATGGCTCTTGATGAACACTATAGTGAGAAAAAGATCTCGATTTTTAGTTTATCACCACATTATTAAGTCTGGAGAGAGAAAGGACCGGAAATTGAACCACCGCTCATAATGCTCATGTTATTTGCATAAAATGGTTGTATTTAATATATGGCACGACTAAATAATGATTTCTAAAACAAAAACAATAATATTTTAAAAATTTACACGCTTCGACGCGATCCTGAAGCTTCCAACAATTGTGAATTCTATTGGAAAAATAAACTCACTTGAATCATTATTTCAGCTCAAGCACTTGATGGTTTATTAACGTTATATTTTTGTCTTCAGAAATTAAAGTAAATTGGTAACTTTGTTTAAATAGTTTCTATTTCAAAATATAATTTGGCATGTCCACTTAGTCGCTTAAGGGCAATAAATCATTTTTTACCAAAGAGCTTTATATGCTTCAATCTACCCACAAAATGGCAAACCTTACTCAGAATGAAATATGTGCTGTGCTCTGTTCGAAAAGGCAATACAAACCAACATGATGGAGAAAAAATGGCTATGTGAAATTTTGCACATAGTCGGTTTATTAAACTCTGAAAATCAAATCCAATACAAATACAAACTAAAACTTTCATTAAACATGTATTGCCGGCGAAGGTGAGGGCAATCAACCGCCAAAGACCTTGCCAAGCAAGGGCACGCCCCACCCAAGCACGAATTTCATTCTGGGTAAAGGTATTACAAAATATTTAATATTACAAAATTGCATAATCTGTTCAGATCAAATCAATAGTGCGGTTCCAACGTTGTGCCGCCCCTGCAAGCAACAACATCACAACCTCTGACACATTCAATTACGAAACAGATTCTAGAGAGGTTATTCTAATATACTTTTTGAAAGCATCAGATTTCCATCTACCCAAGTGCCTAATCTTGTTGTCGGAAACCCCTTGTTCAGCCGCATAAGTAGCAGCACCAATCCTAAAGCTGTGTCCTTTATATCTGTTGGGATCTAAGTTGCATAGCCGAATAACTGAGCCAAGCATTTTTACTAAACTCGCTTCTTAAAACTGGGGACCCATCGTGATTAATAAAAAGTGGGCCATGTACTATGCCACGAACAGAAACATAATCCAAGAATGATTGAACATGACATGCTTTCGGTTGTCTATTCAAAACTATAGAAAAAGGATTTTGATTGTAATTATGTTTATAGCTTGTGAATGTAATTTATCAAGGAAAAGACATTGCCATTCCCACTATGTTTTTTAAAAACTTGATCCAGTTGTAAAAGGTTACCATTGACACTGTCTCGCATTGACACTGTGATTTCACCAATAAGACGAAATGCAAAAAATGCCATAGCACACATGGCCTTAAAAATAAATAATTCATATTGAGAAACACAAAAAATATCTAAACCTTTCATGATGCGAACTAAAATGGGAAGGGTAATAGGCAACCTTGAGTCCAGTTTGTAACCAATCTTACCATACCCTTTAAGCATCTCAGTAATGTAAAAAGTTTTGTTAGGATCCCGTAGACCCGCTAAGCGATGGAAATACCCAAGGGCAGAAACATAAGTATTTACTGTGGAGGAAGCATATCTACGATCAAATAAATATGCAACAAACAATGCCAATTTGGCCGGCAACACTGGTAAAGAAATGTGTGAGCTCTGTAAAAAACTTCTTTGAAATTCTTCATAAAGCTTCCATGCCCTACGGTACGTTGATACTGAAGACTTCTGTAAACTAGCAGATAGAAGATTATGAACTATAGATGCCAGTTTGCCGGGAGTAGATGGGATGGGATTGCTGTTGGCATGGGATCCATGTAAGCTGGTGCTAGTTTCTTGAAACGCTCGATCTACAAACGAGACAGTGCATCAGCAAGAGTGTTCTTAAAACCCGAAATATGCTTCGCTTTAAACAAAATATTGTGCCTCAAACAAACTAGCACAAGTTTACGAACAAAAATCATTAAAGAAGTATCTCTACAGGTAGACTTATATATCACATGTACTAATGCCTCATTATCAGTAAAGAATGTAATACACCTGTCCCTAATATGGTCACCCCACAACATTAAACTCAGAACAATTGGGTAAAATTCCAGAATTGCAATATTTTGACCCAACCATTCCTTAGGCCATTCACCATAGCACCAGTGAGAACCAAATACAGCTCCAAAACCGTGCACCCCTGCCGCATCAGTAAATAACTGTAGGCTCACACTATTTTCCCATTTCTTATTAAGAAGAAATGATTTACCATTGTATTCTTGAAAAAAATGTTGCCAAGTAAACAAATCAGCCTTCACCTCCTTAAAAACACGAACAAAATGACCTGGTCTTTTGAGGCTAATTGTCAAGTCGATAAGCCGTCTTAAAAAGCAACGGCCTGGAACAACCACTGAACAAGCGAAATTTAGTACCCCGGTAAGTGACTGCAACTCTCTCAATGTTGCCTTCTTCTTTTTGATATATTCAGCAATCAACTGTTTACATTTCAATAATTTATCTTCAGGTAAGCGTGATTCACAATGGATAGTGTCTAGTTCCACACCTGCCAATGTCAAAATTGTAGATGGGCCAAATGTTTTTTCAGGTGCCATGGGAATGCCTAAAAAATCACATAATTCTAAGAAGAGTCCGAGACTTCTTAAATTCCCCTGGGGTTTTCTTTGGAACAATACCCAGGGGTGACACTCTGAAAACAGGAAAGGGTGGTGTATCAAAAGGCCCAGCCAACCTACGGGCTTCCAGCTCCTTAGCTAATTTTTGATCAACTACTTGGGACTGTTGTCGTGCAGATAACAAATTAGGAGATTCATAAGATCTACTTTGACCAACCGAAAAGAGATGAAATCCATACTTAAATCCATCAATTAAAAACATTCACTTTTGAAAGTCGTACCCTTCTAGCAAAAAGTCAAGTCGGTTTACCTTTACTGGTGTTGGGAGTGGTAGGATTGGCAGCAACAGGTTTTCCAGTGAAGTTACGAAAATTATGGCAATTTATCATTTGATGAGTCTTTTGACATAATGGGCATGAATGCTTAAAATTACATCCAACACATTTTAAGCCTTTATGATACTTCCAGCAATAACCTTTGGTAACTCGAAAGCCTGACTTCGATTCATCCTCAAATCTCTTTATCTGTGAATAATATTATTTTTGGATGGCTGCGATCTAATCCACAACTCCCAATGCACTGCACCCCAAGAACATGCTTTGAGGTCTTTTTGTCAGAGATATCGAAAGTTCTCGTCATAATATCGCCAGTTATATCCTCTTGCTGCCAAATCCCTAATAGTTTCACTATACTTCATTAAAAAGGGGGCTTCAACAGGATATCTCTGTGTGTAGACACCCACAAAGATTTGGTAGGCTGTGACCCACATTTCAATTGAATTGATATGTTTTAACTTTTGCTTTGGCTCCAATGTGATGCGTGGTTGGTCATTTGATGATGCCATGTCATTTGAAAGGCATAGAAGGAAACTGTCATGTTTTTTCTTATTATCTGCGAGCAATCCAAAATCGACATATTTATGGGCCCATATTTTTCTTTTTAGCCTGTCACAAACTGACATGTCAATGGGAATGTCTGATGACACAAAAATATCTTTAGGCTTATACTAGTGCTTCCTGACAACCTATCCAATACAGTCGCAATCGACCCCTGTACAGTTGCGGCTGATGTGCTAGCCTGATCTGAACTATTTAAATTTCAGAAGTATTAACCTGAGAACCACTTAACTTATTGATGACTGGTTCAGCGACAACTGACCCCTGTACGGCTGAGGCTGTTCCAGGCAATGAAACATTTCCAGTACCTGCATTATCATTGAATTGTGTATTTTGTTATTTTTGTAATACTGCATTTATCACCCTCTCAATCAAGTCATCAATGCCAGCATACGGAGGACCTGCTGGGCCTGGGAGCTGATCTGCTTGTTCTTCATTCTCCTCCACCCGTCTACGGCGACTAGCTGGCTGTTGCTCGGACTCTTGCAAGATAGTAGTTTTTCTCTTCAATCTAGCTGATGCCCGGCGAGACATCCTGAAACGTAAAATAGCTCAACACCAGTATACATGTAAGCTAGAAACATATACAAGCTTTTCCATTGCTAACAAGGTCATTATGCCCAAAAAGAACCAATCCAGATTATAAATTTCAGCAAATGCCCAATGACACAAGTAAAGTGAATGCCCATAGGCATGGTATGAGTAACAAAACAACATCCAACAACAACATTAATCAGGGAGTTTAATTATCAAATTTGCTCCATCTAAATGACTGAAGAAGATCTCAACATGATCAAAAACAACAACTTCGAGATAAACATGGCATAACCGCCGATTTCACATATATCCGAAATATATAACATGCCTGTTTTTATAGTACGATAAAGAAAACCTTCCGACAACCTCTGGTTGGGAAAAATATATAATACTAAACATATAGCTTGGTCAAGAAACTATGCACTACATGGTACAAATTAAACCCAAAATTAAACAATGAAACAGGACATCACAACATGAACTTATACATGAACTATGGCATGGATGGCTTGGCAGACTACACATGTTGCCCGAACATATAAAATGCCTGTCCCTATAAATGCCCTAAAAAAGTTTCAACAACCTCTGGTTGGACAAATGCAAAAAGACCAAACCTGTAGCTTGGTCAAAAAACCATGCACTGCATTGTACAAACTCAAACTTACATAACAAACAGGACTTCACAACGTGAACATGTACATGAACTATGGCAGGGATGGCTTGGCAGACTACACATGTCGCCGAAACATATAATAATGCCTGTCCCTATAAATGCCATAAAAAACATTCCAACAACCTCTGGTTGGACAAATACAAAAAGACCAAACCTGTAGCTTGGTCAAAAAACCACGCACTGCATTGTACAAACTCAAACTTACATAATAAACTGGACTTCACAACATGGACATGTACATGAACTATGGCAGGGATTGCTTGGCAGACTACACATGTCGCCGAAACATATAAAAATGCCTGTCCCTATAATGCCACAAAAACCTTCCAACAACCTCTGGTTGGACAAAAACAGAAAGACCAAAACCATAGGTTGGTCACAAATCCATGCCGAAGCATGGCACAAAAACATAATTAAACATGAACATTCCAACAACCTCCGGTTGGACAGAAGTGAAAAGACCAACAATGTAGATTGGTCAAAAATCCATGCACAGCATGGCACAAACACAATTAAATGACAAAACAGGACATAACAACATAAACATACATCTAACAAGAACGGAATTTTTGCACGTCCCAAATACAAAACAACATACGTCAGTTTGTAATTTATGATTGGAAATACAATCACAGTTTTATTCACATCGAAATGACCATAAGCTGACATTCAATTTGAGTTTTCAGCTGAAATTAATAATTTCTGTTGTATCCATTTGGATAATATCGACATTGCCAACAACATAAACCCAAAATGAAGCGGAGGATTATCAACACAATGTATTTGCCATGAGCATTACTCACTCAGACTTATTCAAAATGTACACAGTATGTTTCCAAGTCACCACTGGGGCGACGAACGAAAGAATGACCAAGTATCATTACTTTCGGGACACACAAAGCTATTTTGGACTGAAAGGAAATAATTTATTTGAAAGGTCAGATCGCTCGTATGTACAAAAACCGAAGCGATGCGACACCAGCCAGAAATGTTGTTCAGAATGGTTAAAAGTCATTAAAAACCAATTGGAAAGTGAAAATGGGTTGCAAGTTACGACCATCGATGCAAAATTCAAATCAGTACCCTCGATTCCATGTTCCTATCCTCTTTCCAAAGTACTGTACTCATAAACTATGTAACAGTCCGGAACATCCCATGTTTTGCGCACAGGATTCTGGGATCGCCAGGGGGCAAACATTGCGAATCGCTACAAAGAAATGTATGGCGTGGAGTTGTTTCTCCGTTAAAAGCGGTGTCTTTGGACATAGAATGCCGCATTTTGCCATGATTTTATGAGAAACGGAGGTCACTAATGTTGGTGCGTTGAAATTTCAAGTTTCTGTGTGCATAATGCGATAAATTCTATCGATAAACACTCCTTGCGTGAGGTTGAGTGTGAAATTTATGTTTACTGAATTTACACAGACATGAAGAATTCGAAGAAAAGGTCTCGAAATATATAGTGCAAATTTAGGTATACATGTAGGGGGATTGGTTCATGTAAGCGTTTAAGTTATAATTACGTGTGGTGATATTTACGACGAGTGTGTAGCGAGAAGAAATCAATATACTAATGTGCAGAAGGTGTTTTTGCTTTTAAATTTAATACATATCAAATTCGACAATACATAAGCTTACCTTTGATCGTTGTCACAAACCGGCACAGTATTGTGATCGCCGCCGAGCGGAGCGTAATTACACTTGTTGTAAATATGAGCACGTGTAAGTACAACTGGAAAGGCTTAAATGAGTCCGCATTCTCCGCTCATTTATACCTAAGTTAGTACTAAATATTTCGAGACCATTTAGTGAATTCACAGTCGACCTTTCGCAAGAATCAGTGTTTATCGATAGATTTCATCGCATTGATCCGCACCAACATTGGTCACCTCCGCTTCTCATAAAATCATGGCAAAATGTTGCATTCTCTGTCCAAAGACACTGCTTCTAACGGAGAAACAGCTCCACGCCATACATTTCTTTGTAGCGACTTGCAATGTTTGCCCCCTGGCGATCCCATAATCCTGTGCGCATAGCTAAGTGTCCGATTACTGGAAAAAGGACAGGGCCAGCTGGTCACGCCACTCTTTTCAACCAATTAGAAGGTGCCCTTGTGTTTATCAACAAACAAATCAAAACATCGCCCCAGTGCTCAAAAATTTTCACAACAACGGACGGAGTCGACGGACAAAAATTAAAGATGAGCTTACAGTACTCGTCTAGGTTTCGCATTTAATATTTCAAAGAAAACATTTCATGTAAGAGAATAAGAGCATTATTCATTGCAAGGAATCATTGGGGTGTTCGAACTGATTCCGGACCGATCGCAGTGGTCGTGGCTTCACTGGCATGGTTTGCAAGATTTTTGATAGAAACAAACTGGTCCCGTGTAAAAATAGCCTTAGAAAGAGTGTGAAAATTTGTTGAGATCATAAAAAACAGGATTGGTACTACCTATTAGCTTCTACAGGACAAGAATCAAAGAACCAGTCATCATAACAAGAATAAAAAGTAGTTCAAATTTATTAATTTTATTTTTCTTGTTTGTTTTTTGGTGTTGTTTCGTGTTGATCTTTTCTTGCTTGCTGTAGTACCTGCAATGTTTTAATTTGATCCCAGATTCAGTGCATGTTCAATGAGAAGCGAAATACATTGAAATTTGCCTTCTTCCTTTGATTGTTTTTTAACGGTGGATGAACATTTGGAGAATCCAGCAACATTAAATCTTTTCAGATTTGGTGAATTTCACAAACAAAGCTGTTAGAATCTACCTTGCGCTTATGATCTTCAATTTCATCCCCACAAATTCGGCAAAATTAGGCGAGATGTTGGACGTGAATATCCATAAGACTAATAAAGTTGTTTTGGCCTTGAAAAGAAAAAAGGCAAAGGCTCGTACTAATGCGAAAAAAAGTAACAACACGGCTCTGTGAGAAACCCGGGAATGGAAAACGTACGTGTTTTGGACCTCGGCATTCAGAACTGGTCTACCAAAATTCTAGGTTGTCTACCATGCATCCCCACATTCAACATGATAAAAGTTAATCGATATGACAATCAAGGATCTAAAACTTCGTAAAAAAAAACTGTGAATCGAAAAATAATAGATACTTGTTCACCTACCTTGAAAACCGACCAAAATCTCGCCCATACATCGCGTTGTTTAAAAGAAGAAATAAGCCACAAAATGTGCTGAATATTTCACGAGACACTTCCAATATGGCTTCCGATACGCTGTCCACTTAAAAAAATTGTGTATACCTCATGAAAACTCTTAAAAATATGCCTGAGAGCCTCGAAACGATAACTGAGTCCGCTGTTTTTGAAAATATTTGATCACAGCAGCGATGTTTTGATTTGTTTGTTGATAAACACAAGCACGCCTTCTCATTGGTTGAAACGGTGTCGCATGACCAGTTGGCCCTGTCCCTAAATTTAGGGATATTCCGGACTGTGTAAGGCTAAACTGGCACATAAAATTTTATTTGAAGACAGATAATGCATTTTGTGATAGCATGATGAGAAAATTCCTCTTTTTTTTGCTAATATCAGTATGATTTTTAAGAACGCCCGAAGCGTGCAATACTCTCGCACCCCGGGTCTCGTCCTTTCAATTCCCATCACAGGTAACCCAAGCTCGAAATATGAGCATCGGCGAGCATCGGCATTGATGCGTAACATTCAAAATATAAGGATTTGTATGGGAAAAAAAACGTATCTTTTCTGTAACCTACGAAAATGAAAGGATTTCAATAAAAAAGAACTTACCTTACTTAAAATGTGCGTTACGTCTCTCCTGTGTGTTGCACGGGCCGATTTATGGCCGTTTTATGGGTTTTTATGTAAACGGTTTTCTCTCTATATAAAGGTTTATATAGACCACACAGGAGAGACGTGGACCACACAGGAGAGACGTAACACACATTTTAAGTAAGGTAAGCTGTTTTTTATTGAAATCCTTTCATTTTCGTAGGTTACAGAAACGATAGGTTTTTTTCCCATACAAATCCTTATATTTTGAATGTTACCCAACAATGCCGATGCTGGCCGATGATCATATTTCGAGCTTGGGTTACCTGTGATGGGAATTGAAAGGACGAGACCCGGGGTGCGAGAGTATTGCACGCTTCGGGCGTTCTTAAAAATCATACTGATATTAGCATTTGGTATTAGCATTTATTGAAATCCTTTCATTTTCGTAGGTTACAGAAACGATAGGTTTTTTTCCCATACAAATCCTTATATTTTGAATGTTACGCAACAATGCCGATGCTGGCCGATGATCATATTTCGAGCTTGGGCTACCTGTGNAATTAGGATTTTGCAGCAAAATATGAACGCCACTCTATTTTATTGCTATTAACTAAGTTCTTAAGAGCGACTGTCTGTAAATATCGACCAAAATTGCTCAAAAGTCGGCTTTTTTGAACGACGTCGACGACCGAGCCCAACGAAAACAGACTTTAAACAAGTACAGTGGTGTGTTTTATTAATTTAAGCATCCGTCAAAAGGCATAAATATGTTAAATTTAAGACGGAGACGACCAATATTAAATAATTAGAACACTTTCTTTTTTCTTGCGAGTTTTCTCTTTCAAGTAATTATGTATAAGTACACATGATACATGTACGTTTCAATGTATTACTATCACGCTTATAAAGGTACTTTGTAACGAACGTTTCAGAAAATACTTTAACTCGTTTCGATCGATGATGAAACACCATCGTCAAAAACAAATCGCCAAAATCTACAGCAAAGCGGAAAATAGAAAAAAAGTGGCTTTTGACTAATGCTAAAGCAGGAATAGCTGCAGCGTGAGTATGAGCTTTTAAAATGTCAAATGCTCCTAAATGGACATCTATAGATCCCTCGCATCGGCATTGGAAAAAAACTCTCCAGCCCACTATGAACTAGCCTGTTCCAGGCGTAGTGGACAGTGGATAGTGGATAGTGGACAGTGGCGCGAAATGGAGAACGGAGGAAAACAAACGTGGAAGAGATTAAGAGGGAGAGAGTAGGAGGAGGAAAAGAGGTTCTTTCGCCCTCTCTCCCTAACCCCGCCCCTTCGCCATTTTTTCTAGCTCACTTTTCTTTCCTTTTTGCCAACTATCTGAAGGCCTGTTACAAGTTAACTACGTGGATTTTTTCATTTCCAACTTTTTATGGTATATATTCAACTTGAGCGTCGAGCACTTTTGGCGCTTTGTAATTGATCAGCAGGAACGGATTTGGTAGTACTAACTTTTCAACTGCTTTTAGACTGCGAAACTGTCATTTTTTTCTTTCTTGTTTTCTTTGTAAATTTCTATCGTATTTTTTAGACGTATTTTTCGCTTCTCTCCCCAGTCTCACTCACTCTCCCCCCACCCCCCGCTGCTTCAGACAAGACAGCCCGACCATTTGTTTTGCTTCAGACCACTCGTTCGATTATTCGCGCGTTCTTGGCTTACGCAAAAAGTACGGGATAGGTTTGTCTTAAAATTTCAAGGTGTTGCAGTGAATCAACCTTTATGAAAGTTTCGGGCATTATTATATACATTATGAAGATTATGCGAAGAGATTTTAAAAAAATTCGTTGAAGTCGTTTCAGAGATATACAAAAAAGCGCTAAAAGTCCAAATTTTGAATGAGGTTGCGCTTAGACAGGTGGTGAGAAAACGGGTCAGTTTTTAAGATTGCAAGAACGAAAATATACCGTTATTTAAGAATAATTTGAGTCATTTTTAACGTTTTTATGAAACAATCTATCACGGCTATTGAAAATTTAGGGTTTGAAGTATATTTTCGTTTTAGTCGAATTCAAGCATACAGAATTTTTTACTTCTTACGGAGGGTATTTGCTAAACACCAAACTTTAAGTTCCTAGTGTTGGATTTTTAGTAGCTGGTCTAGATCGCGCAAAATTAGGCGTTTATCAATTTCAAAATTTTTTGTTTATTGTTGTCATAGTAATATCGATTTTATTAAAACCTACATTTTGACAATTTTCAATCTATAGTCAATCATTGGTGAAAATTTTATAGCGATCAGACAAGGATAAAATCACTTTTAAAGTGACTGAAAAATAACTGTATGGCCTCTGAAAAACTACATCGAAACACCTTAAAGCGTATCTATCGATAAAACTGGCGTGACGCGCTCTGTCACGCTATTTTCAACCATGCAAATGTCGCAGTTTTTCGCAAAATTAGGGTTGAACTCAATGTCTTGCGGGCTACTTAAAATCGTTTGCCCAGAGATTTGTTTCGATTTTCTTGTAGATTGGGGCCTAGTAATGCCGTAGAAAGCAATTCGCGAATTTCTAAGTCATAGCGCGTGGTTAAAATTTGCATTATTTTATCCCCATAATGTTAAACGGTAAAAATTGTCAATAGGGCCTATTTTTAATAATACCTTTTTGGCCACAAAAATATTCCAGCTTTTACAAATGTATCGTTTTATAAGGAAGAAAGGGTCATAAAAACTATTCGTGTTCTTCAAAGACTGCCAAATCGTTGTAGTTTGACGTACGAGTCAATGAAATTTGTGTAAAATTTCGCTTTCCCGGAAGTGGAGTTTGAGCCCCGAACGGGCAAAAGGAGTTTTCTCGAATTTTAACAAAAGAACACGTTATTTGGGAAAACTAACTACAGCATGTTTCATTACTCATTAAAGGTTATCGATGAGCCAAAAATGAGCGAAATCAAATTTTGAACTTGTGCCTACCGTGGGTCGATATTTACGGAAAGCCGCTCTTAAAAAGTCATGCAATAGACCTCATTTAGGATGCCCACCGTCTGTGGATGTAAGTACGCAGGTATTGATGGGTGAAGACAATGTCGCGTGCTCTCTGAGGGGGTAACAAGTGAACTTAAAAATGATTGCTAAGGAGTTTATTTATTCCGTCAAAATTAAAAAGCACTTACTATAGTCATGAGAAATATACAGATCGAGTTTCATCGAGGTTCATGTCATTATTGGTAGGTACATCTACGGTCGTTTTTGCATCCAAAAACACCACGACAGTTTTTGGTTCCAGATATTTTTTTTCCATTATCATCTTGAACCGAGTTCAATTCCTTTACTTATTGTTGTCTAGAATGATCAAACTCGACGGTGATTACTTGCATTGTCAAAGTTTATCGGCGTTTTGCGCCCCAAGAAACCACGTGGCATTACATTTATCCTATTCTCACTAGGGAAAACAACCACAAAACTGAGCATCAATGCCCTTCCTAAATTCTCAGCGTGACCCAGGGGAATACGGGGCATACCCGCAGACCTTGTCCCTCGGTTTTAAAGGGGCAGGTTCACGGTTCAGCGAATGCTCATTTCTCAAAATGCTGTTTTTCTGCCGCGACCTACTGTATCGTCTATGGAAGCAATAGACCTTTTTACCGATACGGCGGCCATATTGAATTTACTGGATTTAAGGAGTATTATGGGATGCCCAGGGGGCACTCGCTCAGTATTTACGCGCGCTTTTCGGGCCAACAGAGAACTTCACTGAATATTTCTCGGGAAAAAGGCGATCATTATTACGTCCAAATACTGCACAACGATTTTTTTTTCCATTACAATCTTTTTCTAGGAAAACTTAAAGAAAAATTGGCCCGGAAAGAGCGCGTAAATACTGAGCGAGTACATCGGATCGTGTTCATGCCCCCTGGGCATCCTATAATACTCCTTAAATCTAAGAAATTAAATATGGCCGCCGTATCGGTAAAAAGGTCTATTATCATGTCATAATGATGTCAAAGAACCAATCTGCACACTCCCCTAGCAGTCCCTTGATCAATTCATGTGAAAATAACTGTAAATTAATCAGCCATGGAATAAAACTTTCGGGTCAACAATAAATTCAACGTTGGTAGTGTTGGCATAATCCACTAATTTTTTGCCATTTTTTACTCCTCCATCTTACTTCGGGTTACTTTGAAATACACTCTGAGATCACTGAGATACATGTGAGTGGAAATATTAACCGATAGAATTAATAATAAATATCTTTCAAGTAATTATGTATAAGTACACATGATACATGTACGTTTCAATGTATTACTATCACGCTTATAAAGGTACTTTGTAACGAACGTTTCAGAAAATACTTTAACTCGTTTCGATCGATGATGAAACACCATCGTCAAAAACAAATCGCCAAAATCTACAGCAAAGCGGAAAATAGAAAAAAAGTGGCTTTTGACTAATGCTAAAGCAGGAATAGCTGCAGCGTGAGTATGAGCTTTTAAAATGTCAAATGCTCCTAAATGGACATCTATAGATCCCTCGCATCGGCATTGGAAAAAAACTCTCCAGCCCACTATGAACTAGCCTGTTCCAGGCGTAGTGGACAGTGGATAGTGGATAGTGGACAGTGGCGCGAAATGGAGAACGGAGGAAAACAAACGTGGAAGAGATTAAGAGGGAGAGAGTAGGAGGAGGAAAAGAGGTTCTTTCGCCCTCTCTCCCTAACCCCGCCCCTTCGCCATTTTTTCTAGCTCACTTTTCTTTCCTTTTTGCCAACTATCTGAAGGCCTGTTACAAGTTAACTACGTGGATTTTTTCATTTCCAACTTTTTATGGTATATATTCAACTTGAGCGTCGAGCACTTTTGGCGCTTTGTAATTGATCAGCAGGAACGGATTTGGTAGTACTAACTTTTCAACTGCTTTTAGACTGCGAAACTGTCATTTTTTTCTTTCTTGTTTTCTTTGTAAATTTCTATCGTATTTTTTAGACGTATTTTTCGCTTCTCTCCCCAGTCTCACTCACTCTCCCCCCACCCCCCGCTGCTTCAGACAAGACAGCCCGACCATTTGTTTTGCTTCAGACCACTCGTTCGATTATTCGCGCGTTCTTGGCTTACGCAAAAAGTACGGGATAGGTTTGTCTTAAAATTTCAAGGTGTTGCAGTGAATCAACCTTTATGAAAGTTTCGGGCATTATTATATACATTATGAAGATTATGCGAAGAGATTTTAAAAAAATTCGTTGAAGTCGTTTCAGAGATATACAAAAAAGCGCTAAAAGTCCAAATTTTGAATGAGGTTGCGCTTAGACAGGTGGTGAGAAAACGGGTCAGTTTTTAAGATTGCAAGAACGAAAATATACCGTTATTTAAGAATAATTTGAGTCATTTTTAACGTTTTTATGAAACAATCTATCACGGCTATTGAAAATTTAGGGTTTGAAGTATATTTTCGTTTTAGTCGAATTCAAGCATACAGAATTTTTTACTTCTTACGGAGGGTATTTGCTAAACACCAAACTTTAAGTTCCTAGTGTTGGATTTTTAGTAGCTGGTCTAGATCGCGCAAAATTAGGCGTTTATCAATTTCAAAATTTTTTGTTTATTGTTGTCATAGTAATATCGATTTTATTAAAACCTACATTTTGACAATTTTCAATCTATAGTCAATCATTGGTGAAAATTTTATAGCGATCAGACAAGGATAAAATCACTTTTAAAGTGACTGAAAAATAACTGTATGGCCTCTGAAAAACTACATCGAAACACCTTAAAGCGTATCTATCGATAAAACTGGCGTGACGCGCTCTGTCACGCTATTTTCAACCATGCAAATGTCGCAGTTTTTCGCAAAATTAGGGTTGAACTCAATGTCTTGCGGGCTACTTAAAATCGTTTGCCCAGAGATTTGTTTCGATTTTCTTGTAGATTGGGGCCTAGTAATGCCGTAGAAAGCAATTCGCGAATTTCTAAGTCATAGCGCGTGGTTAAAATTTGCATTATTTTATCCCCATAATGTTAAACGGTAAAAATTGTCAATAGGGCCTATTTTTAATAATACCTTTTTGGCCACAAAAATATTCCAGCTTTTACAAATGTATCGTTTTATAAGGAAGAAAGGGTCATAAAAACTATTCGTGTTCTTCAAAGACTGCCAAATCGTTGTAGTTTGACGTACGAGTCAATGAAATTTGTGTAAAATTTCGCTTTCCCGGAAGTGGAGTTTGAGCCCCGAACGGGCAAAAGGAGTTTTCTCGAATTTTAACAAAAGAACACGTTATTTGGGAAAACTAACTACAGCATGTTTCATTACTCATTAAAGGTTATCGATGAGCCAAAAATGAGCGAAATCAAATTTTGAACTTGTGCCTACCGTGGGTCGATATTTACGGAAAGCCGCTCTTAAAAAGTCATGCAATAGACCTCATTTAGGATGCCCACCGTCTGTGGATGTAAGTACGCAGGTATTGATGGGTGAAGACAATGTCGCGTGCTCTCTGAGGGGGTAACAAGTGAACTTAAAAATGATTGCTAAGGAGTTTATTTATTCCGTCAAAATTAAAAAGCACTTACTATAGTCATGAGAAATATACAGATCGAGTTTCATCGAGGTTCATGTCATTATTGGTAGGTACATCTACGGTCGTTTTTGCATCCAAAAACACCACGACAGTTTTTGGTTCCAGATATTTTTTTTCCATTATCATCTTGAACCGAGTTCAATTCCTTTACTTATTGTTGTCTAGAATGATCAAACTCGACGGTGATTACTTGCATTGTCAAAGTTTATCGGCGTTTTGCGCCCCAAGAAACCACGTGGCATTACATTTATCCTATTCTCACTAGGGAAAACAACCACAAAACTGAGCATCAATGCCCTTCCTAAATTCTCAGCGTGACCCAGGGGAATACGGGGCATACCCGCAGACCTTGTCCCTCGGTTTTAAAGGGGCAGGTTCACGGTTCAGCGAATGCTCATTTCTCAAAATGCTGTTTTTCTGCCGCGACCTACTGTATCGTCTATGGAAGCAATAGACCTTTTTACCGATACGGCGGCCATATTGAATTTACTGGATTTAAGGAGTATTATGGGATGCCCAGGGGGCACTCGCTCAGTATTTACGCGCGCTTTTCGGGCCAACAGAGAACTTCACTGAATATTTCTCGGGAAAAAGGCGATCATTATTACGTCCAAATACTGCACAACGATTTTTTTTTCCATTACAATCTTTTTCTAGGAAAACTTAAAGAAAAATTGGCCCGGAAAGAGCGCGTAAATACTGAGCGAGTACATCGGATCGTGTTCATGCCCCCTGGGCATCCTATAATACTCCTTAAATCTAAGAAATTAAATATGGCCGCCGTATCGGTAAAAAGGTCTATTATCATGTCATAATGATGTCAAAGAACCAATCTGCACACTCCCCTAGCAGTCCCTTGATCAATTCATGTGCAAATAACTGTAAATTAATCAACCATGGAATAAAAATTTCGGGTCAACAATAAATTCAACGTTGGTAGTGTTGGTATAATCCACTAATTTTTCTGCCATTTTTTACTCCTCCATCTTACTTCGGGTTACTTTGAAATACACTCTGAGATCACTGAGATACATGTGAGTGGAAATATTAACCGATAGAATTAATAATAAATAGAAAAAAGCAATTTAATTGATGAACATGCGCCTAACCGTGAACTTGTCCCTTTAAGACTAGTCTGATTGATTATTCAGCCAGCCAGTTCTAGTAAGGTTTAGGTCTCGGCACCCTCGATAGCAGTTCTTGTTTTTCGCTTTCATCGCTGCGCCCCGTATAACTCAAATTCCAGCTACCCCTTTGGGAGAATACGTCCATGCAGTTTTTAGCCTTCCACAGCTACAAGGCACATATGTGTACCGCTACTGCCCTCTTTTCCTCATCGGAAAGGATGATATAATAGGCAGTAAGATCCATTTGATACAAGAAAGGACTAGTAAACTGTGAAATCATTGCTCTTGTGAAAACATCAAAGGTGAAACATGTCTTGTTTGTCATAGGGATATTTCGACCTGCTGCAAATAATATACTTGTTGATATTCTAGCAACCTCATTCTTTATCTCATCTTTATTTTCAAGGAGTGTTTATTGGTGTGACGCCAAACTACCTCGTCGCCCTAAGCTCGTACCAGGCTCCCGGTAGATTACCTGGGGTAATTTTCTGCAAAGTCATTGGTTCCCAGTACATCGTGTTTCTACTTGGTAAAGTGTCCTGTCTCACGGTCACGTGTCTTGCTGTGGAAAGATGGTACTCTGTGGTTAAGCCTGTCAAATATCGACTTAAGTTTAAAAGACGAAGAGTTTATGTGTATCTTGTAATCATATGGACAACCTGTCTCTTATTGCATTCTTTTGTACTGTTTCAAATGACGCTTGATGAAAAAAACCTGCGATGTGTGTGGATAACATCCAATTTTCCCAAACGACTAACAGCAATGACAATCACCGTGGTGACATTCTTTGTTCCAAATGCAGTTACTTGGGTTACTTATCTTCACATTGCTTTTGCGCTTAAGAGGTCCCCAGCAATTAATAGAAATAATGCGCGTACCACTCTCACACGGTTTAAGCTTCTGCGCATGTGTATTATAGTAGCCCTGCTATTTACAATATGCTGGTTTCCAAATCAGCTTTATTTTGTCCTGGCTTCTTATGACCTTGTCAGACTGGAGTCGCCTTTCCATCACTTCACCGTCGTCCTTGCTATGTTCAACTCGTGCACCAATCCTGTCATTTATTGCTCTACAAACCGGGAATTTAGAAAAGGGTTTCTTATGCTACTTTGCCCTTTCTTTAATTCCTGCCGATGGAAGAAACGAAGAGAGACAAGTCTAGCACAGGAAAACAGATTGAGAGTAGCAACTAGAGAATTTCAAATGGGAAAATCTGACGGTGGTGTGATGTTGACTTTTCCTAATTTGGTCAATCAAGGGTACGAAGTGAACGACTGCAAGCAACAGGAAACCAGTGGTGTTTGCAGTGAGCTTATTTGAAAAATCGGTTTTTTTCAGTCTTTTCAGCTGTGGTCAGGCTTGTTACACTTTCGCTAAGCTTCCGGCTGACGTAGACAAAGCGGACTGCGTTCTTACAGTCAGCGTTAGTTCAACAGGTGGTAAGTGTGAGTACTCGGGGAAAGTGGTCCCTAGCTTCATTCCTGGCGATAGGAGCCCATGGGCCCCTGCTTGCGAAAAATGCCTGATTGGTCGATACGTGACCACGTGACATTTCCTTAATTCAGCATGACGGCAAAACCTTCATCGTCTCTTGTTTAGAACTGCGGCTTATGAGTTGCATGCAGACTGCGTATATTTTGTTTGAATGGCTTTAATTTTTTATTATCCTTTATCATATAATGAGCCGGACATTTTGTTCGTGAAAAGATAAAGCGAAATGTCTGCAGCTGCTGTCTACTCCAACAGACTTTTATCATTAAAACTCGAGCTTGAACTAAATAAACTTCAGCGTCTGCATCAACAATCTTTCCGTTTGTGAACAGGTGCAATTCAGTGAATAACACTCAACAGCTGATTATGAACGAGTTAATTTTCTCTACTTTTTCCTTTTTTTCGGTTCCCATTCCTCGTTCTAGGTTTTTCGTTTTACTTAACATCCGTAAAAACCAGACTAAGTACTATTTTAGCGACTAAATTCACGCCGATTATTTTATTTTGCATTAAGAGTATTGTCATGGTGTACCATATTTCAAGTTCATCGTTAACATCCGCTAATTTATGGAGTGCGTAAATGAGTCAAGTGTCTTGCATCAGATATAAAAGATCTAAATACATGCGGTCCGTATTAAGTAAACTGAATACAAATCTACGTCAAACCCTTACCCTTTACAATTTTGTGTTTTATTCCCATTTTTCATTTTTCCGTTTCCAGTGACTCGCTCCCCAATCCGCTTTCCACGTTTTAGTAAAAGCCTTGTGGTACACATACCTACTCTATGAAAGGGACATTGTAAACTTAAAAAAATAATATGATAATCAGAAATAGCAATGTTATAAAAATAACATTTTAAAATCTATTTTAGCACTGAAAAAAATTGAAATTATGGGACTTCATTTGTACATATATATTAATAGACTACTAGTGATGTTTCAAAATTGTCCAAAATAATAGTACCTGTCAAGTGGCAAGTGGTATTTTGGGCAATTTTGAAATATCACAAGCCGGTATTAATGCCAATTATAACATAGCGTGAATGCTTGCCCTATCTACGTCCTTTTGAGTCGATGCGATGAAATTCTTTATATGTGCACGGCCGTGCGTATATAAGATGACGTGTTTAATTGTGTTTATTAAACGTGGATTTTCGCCTCTAACTTTCAAAATCGAACACAATGATAAAGAACTTTCTAGGATTTTTGGAATTGCCAGCTTCTAGCCACTCAAACCAACAGCAAAAGCGGTGAAATTTTAGCAAATTACCAGGCGCCCTATGGAAAAGTTCTCAGTCAAAGAATGACATTCAGTTGGAAATAAAAACCACAGAATCATATCAGTCGGGGAACATCCGATTATATAGTGTCCTCATTTTTTAACGTCTGCTTAGCCCTTTGAAATCAAGTTAATTAATGGCGAAAAACTACGCACTTTCGTTTTAAACGAACAATCCGTGGACGGAAAATTTCTCTTGCAGGATCGAGACAAAGCGAGCATGAGCTTTTACCAGGACATAAATCTATTACTCATAAAGTAACACAACATTTATTACTCATAAACACAACTACAAAAAGGTCCTCTCAGAGGTAGACTGCTTGAAGTCCGCCTTTTCTTTAAGATCCGTCAAGTTTTCGGTGACAGTGAGTGCGTATGGACAAAAAACTCTTTTAGCCAAAAGGGACTGGGGCGAGAGTCTAGTTGCGTAGGTGGGTGAACAGCTACGTAGATACACGCAATCTAAGCATGAAACTACGTAGAGTTCATGCTATTATATTTTTAGCATAGAAGCCGAGAAACTGTCGGCAACGTTCAAGATACCTCTATTTTGTTCTAGTTGAATGAAAAAACTCTTACCAAAGTGGCGCTTAAACATCTTTCACGTCAATGAGCAAATGATTGACAGCTTCTTGTATTAAGCGTCGAAAATGTAGAAAACAACATGAAAAAGGTTAAATGTTTTTGCAGTAACTGCAGTGGTAGGAGATCACGCATTGACTTTACATACAAAAAGTACTGAAGTTGTGACTCGCCAAGTTTTTTCTTTATAAAACACCAACGCCAACTCCTTAATTGGTCATTATTGTCACGTAACAGTCATGAAAGTGGTGTACTGTTGATGTTTGCGTGTGGGAGTATAAAGAAGTGATTTAATATCGCCGAAAACTACATACCTTTTTCATTTCTTCATCTTGAATGGTAAGTGCTCTGAGTGCTTTTGTTGAATTTGGTTGTTTTCCGTAGCCTTTCTCGCGAAGACCTCTTGCCTTTTCCTTCTGCCCGAACTTGACAAATTCTTGGTTCGCTATGCAAATTTTGCTGTCATTTTGTCTGTCGAGAGCAGCTAATATACCGTAAAGAGATCCCCGGCTTCCGATCTAAAAGGACACCCTGTTCAAGACGCTAAATAATGAAATTATATACCCTGTCAGGAGCCTGAAAACCATCCCCTGTTGAGCGGCACATACCCGTATAGGCAAAATAAGGGAGTGCCCCCCCTCCCTCCCTCGAGCTAATATACCGTAAATGATCCAACAGATGCAGGGGGAGTTTATATTCAATCTTAGGGGTCCAAGAAGGAGCGTTTAATAGATAGGAGGCGTTTATTCTCATACTACTACTGTGCAGTGGCAGATCTAGGGGAGGAGCCCGGGGGACCCGCCCCCCCCTTATTTTTAGACTATTAATTGTATTGCACTGAATATCGGCAAACTTCTTCCAAGTTTGCGGGTCAACGGTAGCTGATTATGAAGAATCAACCTGGGGATTTAAACCAATCAGAATTAGGGAAATATTTTGAGTGGATAATAAACATCATTTTCAGTTCCCAATCGCTTAAAATAAGACGGTTTCAAATACAATGTCCTCAGTATTCCGCCTTGCGATTGCTACTAATTTTTGTTTCTATTTTTACTGTGTCGTCTTTAGATGTTAAACAATAAAAGCTCCCCAAGATATCTGACAAATATATCGACACCGACTACGCCTCCCGCTTCAGCTGTAGATTATTCCTACCTGCTGGCAGTTGCGTTTGGTTTTATTGCTGTCATGGCCATTATTGGCAACGGGCTTTTTTGCATTCTTATACTGAAGAATTGTCGGATGCTTAGATCTGCATATAACTTGCTGATATTCAGCCTGGCTGTGACAGACATGATAACAGGTAAACGTTTTTAGAAATCAAATCAGTTTTTCCTTTTGTGACTGAGAAACTGTTGTACACGACGACCTCGATACATGAATTACCAATAGTTACCAGTTGTACGACTGTGAAGTCAGTTAAAGAGGGTTCCTATTTTGATGAGACAGAAATAATACCGTAATTATAGCATAAAACATAATTCGTACGCAAACACAAATTAGGAATTTGCAGCATAATATGAACGCCACGCTTTTTTATTTCCATTAAATAAAGTTTCTTAAGGAAGTCACTAGTCTTTAAAAAGTCATGCAGTAGACTTTATTTAGGTTGCCCACCGTCTTTGCATGCAAGAACGTAGGGATTGATGGGTGAGGACAATGTCGCGTGCTCTCTTATGGGACAAAAAGCTACCTGTAAAAGTGATTGCCAAGGAGTTTATTTATTCCGTCAAAGTTAAAAAACATTTACTACAGTCATGAAAAATATACAGATCGAGTTTCGTCGAGGTTCATGTCATTATTGGTAGGTATATTTACGGTCGTTTTTGCATCCAAAAACACCACGTCAATGATCACCTCCACTTATTTTTTCCATTATCATCTTGAACCGAGTATAATTCCTTTACTTTCAGTTGTTGTCTAAAATGATCAAACTCGACGGCGATGACTTGCATGGTCAAGGTTTATCGGCGTTTTGCGCCCCGAGAAACCACGTGACATTAGATTATATCCTATTGATCTTGTGCTTGCAAAGTCGTCATATAACATAAATAAG